TTTTACAGTACTTTAGGTACCTTCCAGATTTTGGTTTTGGGTTGTTCGACATAATTTATTGACCCACGAAGAGCTCAGGAGCCCTAGCTCATTAAATCTCCCTCGTGAAATAAAATGGTTCAAAAATACAAACAGATAAAAACATAAAAATTAAGAAATTATAAAGATAAAACGTGAAATACATAAATTTAGCAGTAGTTAATGGTTTTTGCATATTTAAAATTGTATTGAGAAGAAACAGCTTGTACAAAAGTTCTCTTAAGATAGATTCGATTTAGATAGTATTGTAAATGAAGTCAGATTTTAAACTTGATGGACTTAAAAAACATTTTTACAAAAACAAGTTATGGTGTATAAATAAAGGAATTATGAAACCATGCTGCTGAAAGACTTTGTTGACGTAATTTAGAGCCAGAGCGCGCAAATAATACTTGTCGCACTATGTCTTTTAAACAGGTTTTTAAATCCGTCGTTAATACAACTTATAACTTTACAGGATGAAGTAGACTCTACTTCTTCTAAAATGCCACGCTATGCAGTTCTTGGAAAGCGACACGAATGTTCCCTCTGTGGGCGAAAGTTTAATCGAATAGATATCTTAAAACGACATGTGAAACAAGTTCATGAACGCCGAGCGGCTCAGCGGGAATACGTATGTAATACCTGTGGTGAAGTCTTTCACAATCTGGCTCCATTTCGAGCTCATGGAAAATCAGCACACAGTAGACCTTCTACGGCTGCCAAACGTCTGCACCAAGACGACTCAGGTAGGAAGACTCTTTTGCAGTAACATAAAAATAACATTTTGTGTAAATGATAACTACTATGTAAATTTCCTTCGCAAAGCATAATAGAAAGTAGGATATGTTGAAAAAGTGCTTTATTGGCCTTTGTTTACAGTAATACCTTACTGAATATAATAGAGGTCACACATTGTTAAACACTTCTTTTGTCCTTAAAACCGTAAGGTCCGATATCAGGGACATTTGAAAGAGGACGTTTCGTGTGGCTTACATCGACATTGTTCCTCTTTACTAGTATGTACCGCGGTAAGGTTCGGGGTCACAAAATCATTTTAGGGTGACAAATAGAGGTTTCAAACACAACTTATTTACCGGTAAATAAAAGCCGCTGATTGCAGATGAATTTTTGAATCGGAAACTAACCTATAAAAACAGAGGCTACAAACTGATAGTATTTCAGTAGATTTAGACAAGCCATTGTAGATATATTGCAGACTGAAGAAAGCAGATTTCTGGTATTTTCTCTTTCCCACTTTTCTCGCATTTCTCTTGTCCCATTCTAATGCGTTTGAACCTTACGTCAAAGCTTTTCAATTTAAAATACTTAATTCTATACTTTTTACCAACTCAAAGTTGTTCAAGATTGGGTACAGGACAGACCACTTGTGCTCTTTTTGCAAAAGGGAATCAGAAACTATTAGACATTTCTTTTGTTACTGCCGTATTCGAATTCATTCTGGAAATGTATTGAATCATATTATTTGGGGTTGCAAAAACAACTAGTTCACCTAACAATAAAGGAAATTTGGATCGGCTTTTTATCTTCTGAATGCCCCTTGCTTAATTATCTTATACGTATAGGGAAAATATATTTATGGAGTTGCAGAAGGAATGAGCTACTCCCAACCATAAACAGTTTTATAGTTAGAATAAACGGTAAATATGAAATAGAAAAATATATTTGCACTAAGAATAAGAATTTACAAAAAATACTGGACAAATGGACTTTGTAATCTAGTCACTTTTTCTTCTTTTACAAACATGATTAGTTTCTTCTTTTTTGAATAGCACTTGTAAAATAACAGTAGGCATACCTCGTGTGGTGGTTGTGGAATTGCACGTGTGCTTAGGTGTGTAGTCCGTTTGTGCATGTATGCTTTGTGATAATAACTGTAATTGTTGTACTGTGGAATAGCAAATGAGATAAAAATAAAAAATAAAATAATAATAATAATAATAATAGATTTCTGGTATTTTGTACTGGAAACAGCGACTTTGTTTTTGAATTTTCTTTTTGTCGAAAAAAAAGTTTATCTGCTTGAATCTCCATGAAAGTTTCCCTGTGGAATATACGATTTTTGACATGGAAAGCTGAATCTTGACGCCTGAAGGCCTAGACCGAGGGTTACATCAGAGGGTTTTTTTAAAATAATAATTATAATAATGATGATAATTTAATTGTAATTTAGCAGCCCATGTTTTTCGAGTAAAAAATGCGACTTTGGAAAATGTTCGGGGTAAATTCAGAAAATTGTTATTTACAATTATCTTTAATTTTTCATATATTCCGTGTAAGTGTCACCATTTTGTTTTGTAAACGTGGGGATAATGCGAGCTGAATTTTCCGTAATTTTTGGTAGTGGCAAGTTCACAATATATGGAATAAAACGTAACTTTTATTTCAAACACATTGGAGATATTCTATTTAGATAGATGTATACCTTTTTTTCTCTTTCACAGCGAAAAACCAAGAAAATAAAGTCGACCCCTATCGAAAAAAGGCAGTCAACTCAGAGTTCTAGTTGGCAGCAAGATACAAGAGCTATCACCGACCTCCCTGAAGCACAACAAAGTCTCGTTCCCGAATACCGCAACCACTGGCATCAAATACGCACTCGTTTTAGCCGCAAAAATCGCCTTTTGGACTGGTACAATTACCGCCTATCCTCTCTCCAACCTCAAGAACTTATCACTCATCAGGATAACAATTTTACTGACCAGTCCACGGTGTTTAAGCTGAATGTGTCATTTGGCTTCAATCTACGCAACAATGAGACTGGAGCACTTCAATATTATTATGCCCCCAGAAATAATGAGCAAGTCTTTGAAGCTCCCTTTCAAATTACCACCGCAGCTGACCTTCAACAAGTCCGTGAAGCATTGCTAAACCTTGACGTCTTGGAATGGGTACGCCAGCGACGCCCCAACTCTAAATGGGTCGTAGAACGGGTGACCAATACCACTTTCTTCGTCACCAAGCTACGAGGCCATCTGATAGTGAGAGGTCAAAGTCTGCCTCACTACATCGTGGAAAATTGCGGTATTGATGCCTTGGATAGCAACCCCCAGACTGGTAAAATCTATAGCGACAATATGTGCTTCTTTCGCGCTTTGGAACTCCACAACGGTTGTCACCCAAAGAATGTAGAGAGGGATGCACAGCATTACTATGAGCGATATAGAGGCTTTTTCCCTGAGAAAAAGAAGTTTTTTGGTGTGAAGCTGAAAGAACTTCATGATCTGGAACAAATCTACGAAGTGAACATTTCCGTCTATTCCCTCGAACCCACCAAGCCCGATGGAGAGGGGGGAGATGAAGACAAAACCGAAGAAGAAAATACAGTACCAGACATTGCTTCACAACTGGTTCACCGCTCCCTTTGCCACTACCCAAGTACTCTTTACCTCAACCTGTACCAGAATCACTTTTCCTATATTAAAGATTTAAAGAAGTATGCCAAGTCCTACAGCTGCTTGCGATGTGGAACACTGTGGAAACATGTTGGTATGTTAAATCGTCAAGAGCGAACCTGTGAAGCGAAAGTTAGTTACCAGTTTCCAGGAGGTGCTTACAAGACCCCAACAACCATCTTTCAGTTGCTTGAAGACGAAGGGTTGACTGTTCCTGAGCATCTCAAGTTCTTCCCCTACAGAGCTACCTTTGACTTTAAGTGTATGTTTACACCTGAGACAGACTTCAACGATACTGAGAAACTGACTTGGGACGCTAAACATATACCCCTCAGCGTGAGTGTCTGTTCCAACGTTCCAGACTACGACCAACCCAAGTGCATTGTGTCCCATGGGGACTCTAAACAACTCGTCAAAGAGATGTTAGAAAACCTCGTAAAAATAAGTGAAAAGAGTTATGACCTGTTAAGAAAAGAGTTTAACTTCCTTTTTGAAGCCATCGACCAAAAGCTGCAAGACCTACAGCCAAAATCAGAAGCTGGAGACCCTTCAAACACAGTAGAAAACCTCACACAGGAAGATAGCGATGATGAAGGAGAAGATCTCACGGACACAGATGACGAAGAAGAAGACATCGAGTCTGAAACCGAAGAAGATCGTGTCTTTATTGACGATGACGTAGAAGAACAAGGTGCCTCGTTTTACAGGGCCTTAGATCGCGAACACGAGGATCAAAGTGAGAATGATCACGAGTGTGCGTATGACAAACTAGAGGACAACATCCCAGAACCTAAGGAGAAAAAAGAACTTCCTGTCCTGGGCTTCAATTCTGGTAAATATCACTTTTATGCCGTAAAAGAATTTCTGTTTCCTGTCCTGGTCCAGAATGAAGGCGTTCAGTTTACTATCAAGCGTAACCACAATTTCATGTGCCTAAAGACCCCACATCTTCTCTTCCTCGACGTCAACAACTTTCTTGCTCCCGGTTTCAGCTACGACAAAATTATTGGTCAGCATATGCAAACCTTTGCTGAGGAAGAGAACATCATATCACAACCTCGAAGAAGTCTCGTTGGTAGCTCTTTTGGTGAGAGGATCTTATTGGCTTCCCCACTCATTAAGTGGTACTTGCAGCATGGTCTGGAAGTGACTCATATTTATCAAGTAGTGGAGTATACACCCGTTCCCTGTTTCCAACCCTTTGGGGAAGCTGTATCGGGTGCTAGACGGGCTGGAGATGTAGACCCAAACAAAATTGGTAAGTTGTTCTCCTTTTGAAGGAAAGGAGGAAGAATACGTTTTAAGGTACAAAAAACTCATACCAATGTTGCCTTTTCGTAGGTGGGTAACTCGAGTTATGGAAAGACGATCACAGATCAAGAACGCCATCGAGAAGTCCAGTTTTGTGGAGAAACTAAAGCGTCCCGCTTAATAAACAAACCCTTCTTTAGACAGATTGAACAGATTGATGAAAATACGTTTGAAGTGCAATCTTGCAAGAAAAACATCAAGTTGAACCTTCCCATGCAGATAGGTGTTTTCGTTTATCAATTCGCTAAACTTAGAATGCTTGAGTTTTATTTTGATTTCATGGATAAGTATCTTGATCGTAGTGATTTTCAGTATTGTAAAATGGACACCGACTCTGCCTATATCGCGATCGCAGGACAGTCGGTAGAAAGTTTAGTAAAACCAGAGTTAAGAGAGGAATTTGAAGCAGACAAGGCCAATTGGTTTCCACGAACCGACACTCCAGAACACAAAGGTTATGACAAAAAGAACACCAGGTTTATTTAAGGAAGAGTGGACAGGGGCAGGAATAATTGGTCTAAGTAGCAAGACCTACTATTGCTTTGGAGCCTATGATAAGTTCAGTTGTAAAGGGGTTAACAAGAAAACAAACGACATTAACAAGGAAATTTATCTTAATGTTCTGTTGACCAAACAGAGTAGTGCAGGATTAAATAAAGGTTTTCGGGTAGTCAACAATAGCATGTATACTTATGAACAGGTTCGAGATGAGTTTTCCTACTTTTACCCTAAAAGAAAAGTGTTGGAGGATAGAGTTACCTTTATGCCTCTAGATATATAAAATTGTGTTGTAAATAGATTGCTGTATTAAAAAAAATGAGTATCAAAAATTTTAACGTGTGTGATTCATAAATAAAACACTTTATAAAAGACGCGTTTCTTGTAATTATCTGACTTAAAGCGCGAGTGCGTTCCCACGCACAACTTCCCCACGCGACCTTCTCGCTTGTTTCTGAGGAAAAAAAAACCCTCAATTTCTGCCCTTTATGCTTTTGGCGCCCGTTGTGCCCTCGAAAATAAACGATAAATTTCGTGTCGCAAATAGATTTGTTCAGTTTAAAGTCTGCTTTCGTACCGTTAACATGAAAAAACTAAAATGCAAGCATTGTCCTGTTCCCGGAGGAGGGTCAAAATTTTTGGTTCGATGAGCAAACCATTTGGCTCAGGTACACGAGCTGTCTGACTTAGAGAGAAAATATTCGCTCCAGTTTGCCAAATTACAAAATACCAAAAAATGGTTCGTGTATATGATAAAGATACTCCACCAAAGACCATTTCTCTAAGAATAAGAGCAAACGCAGTGGAACCAGTCAGTTGTCAACATGGACCCAAGGTGCAAACACCGCTTTCCTGCTATTGTAGCTGGCCCCACTTGTTGTGGAAAAAGTCAGTTTGTCAAACACCTGTTTGAATCTGGAGAAGAAGTAATAGACGGAGCTCCTGAAAATATCATTTGGTGTTATCGGATATACCAACCGGCTTACGATGAGATGCTAAGGACTATTCCCAACACCACGTTCGTCAAAGGAGTTCCTGGTGATTTAGAATCCATGATAAACCTAACCATTCGGAATTTAGTGGTCATTGACGATTGAATGCAGGAGCTTAGCAATGATCAAAGAATTAACAATTTGTTTACTAAGGGCTGTCATCACCGAAATTTAAGCGTTATTTTCATTCTTCAAAATATTTTTCACCGGGGAAAAGAACTGAGAGACATGAGTTTGAATTACCATTATTTGGTGATGTTCAAGTCTCCGCGGGATAGCAGTCAAGTCAGTCACTTGGCGAAACAGATGTTTCCCGGTCATGTCAAATACACGCAAGAAGCGTTTCAGGATGCGACAAAACGCCCTTATGGCTACCTGTTATGCGACCCTTAAACCGGAAACGCCTACCGACTTCCGGTTGCGCACAAGCATTTTCCCTGGGGAGACTCAGCTCGCCTATATCAGAAAGGTATAAAAAAGCTCCATCGTAGTGATTGATATCAGTTGAGTATGGCCCAGCGACTAAGAAAGAACCACGATTTTCTTAAGCTCCACGTCAAGTGTACCCCAGCTCAACGTAAAGCAATTTTGAAAGCAGCCGACGACGCTTTAGTAAGAACCATTTGTGAGTGTGTTTTCAACGTACTTAAAGAAAGAGTCCCTTTCAGTAAACCGGCAAAGAGAAAACTTCTTAAGCACAAGAAAGCCTTCACTGCTTTAGCTGAAAAGAGTTCCCCGCTAAACAAGCAAAAGCAAATCTTGGTACAACACGGAGGAAACTTTTTAAGTGTTTTGCTACCTCCCGTTCTTCGGGTGTTGAGCTCGCTTCGTACTTAAGATGAATCATACAAGACGCATGGTTCTCGTTCCTGAGAACAGTCTGGAACGATTGCAGCAACGTCAGCAGATATCAACACCACCTGTAACACAAACTCTGAAAAATCTGGATAGCCTAATGGGGGATATTTTAGAAAGTAAACAGCTTGATGATGAGGAAAAGGCGAAGCTTTACAATCAGGTGTTGCAACGGTACTTGACTTATTACGATCAGCGGAAAGGTCAGCCTCTCCATGTGAAGTTAACAACCCCTAAAACAGCAGAAACCCCCAAACCAGTTGAGAACGCAGAATCTACAGAGGAAGCTTCTCCAGATAATTCTCTTCCAACAGCAGTAGAGCAAGAGGTCATGAAAAGTGTACCCAAAATTTACAAAGCTGAGGCTAGACAGTTGTTGGATAACATTAAAAAACACCAGGATGTGTCGCATTGGAATGATAAAGGAGAGCTGTTGTATGAAAACAAACCAATCCCAGGTTCTCATGTGGTCGACCTAGTCAACGACACATTGCGTCACCGAAAAGGATTTGAACCAGTGGGGTGGTTCGTGTTTACAAGGGGCCTGGCGCGAATGAATGTCCCCGAAAACTTGGTTCGCAATCCCCAACGTCAGAGTGCCATAAGAGAGTTTAAAGCAAGTGTGAGAGAGGAAACCCCAGAAAGTCCTTCGCGTTGGCTACCAGCCCCACCTGTGACGTTACCTTCTGTCAAAAAGCAGAGGCGCAGAGTCGAGAGTCCTCGCCCTCAGGCTGTTCGATGGTTATGATTATAAATCATGACGAGAGACTTTTTTTAATGGGAAACACAAAACGTTATTTTGCTCATTCAATTAAATGTGTTGAAAAGAAATTACATGGTGTCTTTTTACTGAACTTAGTGTTGAGCTTTTGCTCTTTGTTTGTTTGCATCAGTACGATATTTCGGAAACTTATAGGAAAATGTTTTTCAATAAATCGTTTCACAAGACTATCTTTTTTACTTGTGTTTTTAGAAAAACGATGGACAATAGTACTCCTACTTATTTGCCGACTACGACATAAAGCAAAATACAAACAGTAATGTCCGCAGACGTTTGAATGGATGCTTTGTAATGTCACAGTATTAAACGTCCAATGGCTAGAATTTTTGTTTAAAAAGGTAGTAAATGTTCTTGAATATTTGCTGGGTGGTGATCCGTAAGAATGGAAAAATTCTCCCTCTTGCTCCTTGGTGAAACCCAATGTGAACCTGGCTTCTCACTCGTATCCACATTGGCGATAAACAGGGCTGGGTAATGTGAAACACTTGCAGGCAGCAGGTCTGAGGGATACACGCCTTGAAACACACCTCGTGTAAATTTATCATTTCTCAAAATAAGGGTCAGTTGAGTAATGTCCATTTTTAGCTTGTGTAGTCGAACACGTTGCGGTTCCCGTCAACTTCAATCACGTTTTGGAATTCAGCGTAAACGATAAGATTAACCGTATTGGCCAGTGGTTCCTTGAAATGAAGCTCAGCGCGCGGGTTACCTTGCTTTATTAGCTCAAAATGGTCACCTGAGCGGTGGTCTGGGGACAAGTCAAAGCAGAACGCTGTGTAACCAGAGACATAATCTCTTCTACTGATTTGATTACCCGCATCTTGGGATAACTTTCCAGTGCCTGAGAACAGGCTTTGATAGCCCGCTATTACGTTTTGACCTCCAGCTTCGTCAAAATTCAAGAACAGGGGTTTCCGAGGATTTTGCTCTTCGTCCACACAGACACCCACTTGAGTTAGATTGTCGTGTTTAAAGTTGAACGGATTCGTACTGTAAGTTCCATTATATACCTGAGTATCCACTAAGACCAGCACGATTCGTTTGGGGATGTGACCCAAAAAGATGTTGTCGGGGTGAAAACTGCTAAATCCTCTTGGAATAGACAGCACTTTACAATCTATTCGGCGAACCGGATACTTGGCCCAGTGTTTTAGTACAGCCGCATGGCCAAGTATAATAGAGGAGGCCAATTTCACCCTGCGAACGAACAAGATGGCTTCTGTGATTATCACCTTGAAAGTTGGGGCGGCTGCTGATGACATTAGACAAAACGCATCAACCGGTCTTGAAAGAAAATGTCGCTATGAATGGGCCCCATCATATCCACAATATGACTTTCTTTAGTGAAATCATAGCGAACCCTTAACCCCTTGTTTGCGGCATCGTCTGCAACCACAGGGTTGGCAACATCCATTTTTCCAGGGGTATCTTTGTAAAACATGGCCGTGGAAAGTTGACTTGTTTTTGCTTCTTCTCCGTAGTTTAGCAAGGTTTCGATCATGGCGCGATAAGGGTAGGTATTGGTGGATGGAGAGATCAATCGCTCGTTCAAGGAAACGTCCACTTGCGAAAACAGGGAATGTAAAAACAGGTTCACGGGACCTACTTGTGTATCGGCATCTATGGCGGTTCCATTTGCTTTTGTGATCTTGGCTTTAACAAATAACTGAGTACGTGCCAAGTCCAAATACTCATCCCCGGTTCCCGAAACAAAAAATTCGATCGAACCACTGTCCGTGATGTTACTGATGGGGTGGTACTCGATCCATTGCCCTTTGAAGATAGAGGTTTGTGTTGCTAGAATCGTAAAGAGATCCAACCCAGATTTCGTACATTCCTGAGACTCGTGATGCACAAAGGCCATAGTTACTTCCAGAAAGAAAATTTCTCTTTGGGCTTCTTTTGCTGCGGAGATGTTTTTGCTTTCTTGCCTGGAGCCGAATTGATTTTGGTTCCTTGCGCTTTTCTTTTTATAGCTTTTTTGCCAGCTCCTGATTGTCCCTGCAATGAATTCTGGGAAGGTAGACCGAGGGCTTCTTTCGTGCACTTCAAGAACATCTTGGGCGACATTGACACCCGTTTGTAAAGCCTTTTTTCTAATCCCCTTAGCACCCTGTTGAAGGTGAGGCATCGCTCAGTGAAACAGGCCTCTGAATATGGAACCTAGTCCATAACCCCACTGAAATCGAGCACCGTGAAACGCTCGTAAACTCCCACCTTTTTGCTTGGCTTGATTAACATAGTACTGTTCGTACAACTTGTGATTTGGAGTATGGAGTTTTTCCATCATTAAAAATATTGAGGTACACTTTGACGAAAATGAGGTGTTAACAACAGACTCCCAAACTCAAATGGTATTGACTCTCCTGTGTCTGTCTTTATATCGACTTTGACGGTTTCAAATTGCTTTCTGCTGACAGGTAAATATTGGGGGCGCAAAAATGATTTACTCTCTCGCTCCCCGACCTTTCCTTCTACAGGAACAATTCGAAGCAAAGGTGCCAATGCATCTCCAACATATTGTGACTGAATAATATCATAGTAAATGAAAAGGTCCTGAAAGCCATACTCCAAATCCACTTGTCTTTCAGCGGTAGAGGTATTAGAAATAATTTCTTCCAGTGAAAATCCCAGCAGGTATCCAATGTTACCAAAGAAAAGTTCTTCGTTATTTTGTAGCTGAACAGTCACCTTTCTAGTGAACGTGTCGTAGGAAAATGTTACATCGTCATTGAAACGCTTTACATTCTCTATCAGCCCTTTCATCCTTGATAAGATATCTTCAATAGAAGAATAATGACCCGGTGGTATAATTAGGGCCTCCCATACTCCGGACAATTCTTGGTTCCGAAGGAAGAATCGATTACCAAAATTTCCTTGGACATTATTCCAGCCGTGAGGATAATGAATTTCTGTTAACGCTACTTCCCAGTCCCCCGTCAAGCTAACGGTTTGAGGTAAACCAACATGGTACTCCTTTAATGTGTTGTTGGGAAACTTATCGAGGCTGCTATTGCTTGGAACATGCAGGTAACACAGTGTTACCTCCATCGTATCGTGTGTTCAAATGAACATTTACTCCTGGCGTTGTTAATTTATAACTATACACAACAAAATTAGTTTTCAGTTAAAATAACCCTTTTATTGGCTTCACACAAAATGTCACAACTTTGAGATATTACTTTCTACTATCCAGCTATTAAACTTGTCTGGGTACCCTTTCCATTATACTATTCCATTCCAACTATTCCTTTGCGCTTTCGCTTGCGCAAAATCTTTTCAACGCGGTACACATCATCGTTCTCAATTATTTTCTGTAACTCGGGTTCATACAACGTTCCATCTAAGATTTCACCTGCATCATCCTTTAGTTTGTAAACGGGTACTTGACGCACCGTTCGTTTGTATACAGTAAACATTTCTTCCGTGAAATTAGGCAGGTAAGATTTTTCAAACATTCGCTTCACTTTGCTGATCCTAACACGATCTCCCACTTGAAATTTAAAACGTACACGCTTTTCAACGTCATTAACACACAAAGTATCCCACACTTTAGTTTCATTCGCTTTAGTCACCTCACTCGGTTTCATTTTAATACTTCAGTGGTAAGCGTTATTGTAAGAGGATACTAATTGGGGTAGTACATTGATATAGGTGAGAGTGCTTTTAGCTGTGAAATATTTGTACATCTTATTTTTAAATGTTCTGTTAAAACGCTCAACTACTGAGGCCTTAAGCCCAGAGTTTACAGAAAAAAAGTCAATGTTGTTGTCACGCAGATAAGTCCGAAACACGCGATTAAGAAACTCTGTTCCTTGATCCGTTTGCAGTTTGCTGGGTTTGCGACCAGTAGAAAGGATCTTTTGAAAGGCTTTGACCAGTTCTTGACCTTGTTTTGACTTCAAAGGCAACACCCAGGCATACTTGATGAAGATATATATACAAGTCAGTAAGTATTTATAGCCCTTGTTGTAGCGACTGAGATTTTGAAGATCGACCAAATCCGCTTGAAACTGGGCATCTATTCCAGGAACGATGACTCGGCTTCTCTTGTAGCGTCTTCGCACGGGCTTGTTAAGAGTATAAACATCCTGCTGACTCAACCAATCTCGGACTTGTTTACGCGATATCTTGTTCTTTCCTTTCTCTTTGACCTCTCTGTAAACAGCATCTAAACCACCGAAACTTGCGGGTTGACTTGGGTCGAGGTAGATGCTGGCTAGTTTTTTCTCGATCACAAATTTCCGAGTTTTGTACGACCACTTTACCACTGCAGCAAGCTAATACACAACGTATGCGATTGAAAATGTGTTCAAAACCAAAATGGATGATGGCAGACAGCAACCCATCACTATTGTTTACCTGAACGGTAAAAGATGTAATGATTTCTCTCTTCCTGGTGCTCCCTTATATAGCTACTGTCGAATCTGGGTGAGAGCGGGAACAAGAAGATGAAATAGTAGTTCCCATTCCTCCTCAGTTAATCCCAGCTGATCCGAGAAGTTCAAAAATACTACTAATCGTCCCCAGTTCACTTTGGGGAGGAGTTCAGAATGGAGTTGCTTTAATTTTTCGAGATTTGAGCCCAGTAGTTTAAAAAAGTTTTCTTTAACCATTTCCATTGCACTTGTAGATATTGTTAAATTTTTTGCTGTTAAGCGGTACCAAGAAAACTTGACCCGAAGCAAAGAGAGAGAAAGACCCATCTTAACTAAGATAAAGACAAACACACTGACGCAAAATCAAAACATCAACTCATTTTATTACTTTTACAAACAAAGCTTGTTTTGAATGTCATTAATTACAGAGTCAATTTCCATTGGCTCTTCGTCTTTTCTCACTACTTGTTCAGGGCATTCTATTTCTGCTTTTTGGTCGCTAAAATCCTTGCTCTTGAGGCCATTAGGTCCGTCATGTATAGCCCCGCGATACACGACTCTTAATATCACCATCAAAACCATCTATCT